AGCAGGAAAACCTGAAACTAGTCACATTCCTTGCATAGGAAATACTACTACTAGATGACAAAGCATTAAAAAAATCCTTGTGCATGTACACATACACTACTACGCAGAAAGTTAGAAAGCAGATGTGACTCACCTTGTAATAATTGTTGCACTTATTTTTTAAAAGCTATAACAACTTACAGCTTGTACAAATTCAGTATACTTTGGGTATCTGGCAAATTTTTACTGAAAAACTAATCCACTCAGAATGTTTTTATATAAGATGAGCACTATCAAGTTAGGCTTAATCTCTACTTAACCGACAAAGTGATACTTAGTATGACTTCAAATCCTTCAAGCTACTATGACATAACTACTTCTTTGTTCAAGTTTGGGGTCCAGGATATTAGCACAAGACACAATTACATGCACTAAAAATCTGTTCCAATTTTTTTTAAAAAGAGACATATTGAATAGTTCTACCAGTTATCAAGGTTTTTTGATCATGTTTACAGCTTACATTCACCAGACTTGAATAACAACAAATAATGGCATTACAGCATCTTACCTGCCTGGTTATTAACAGTCATAATCCCATAAAGGTTTTGAAGATAATTGTCTTTAGAATATATATACAGGACACCAAGAAGAAAAGAATGCAGCCAGTATTTCCAGGATGGAGTATTATGCAATCTGACTTCCTGTTCAAGGACAATAACCTCATCTCTTGAACTTCTCAAAACTCAGATGTCAAAACTAGATAGAGTAACCTATTGGTAATCTCAGTGCTGCAATGAGCAGCAAGGGCAGTTCTGAACTACAAGTTGTAGGAAACAGGTAGTAAGGTTATTGAAACTATACGCCAAATGATGTAGTCAAAAGTGTTAAAACTAAATAAACCTGAGGACGCATTATGAAAGGAATATTGAAGATAAAGTAGGGAGCAAATATTCCTAGAAAGAGGATGTCACAAAAATACTGGAGAGGCTGAAAAATAAAATGTACAGTAAGCTAACAGAACTTTACCTATGTATTTCAATGAAAACAAAGTGAAAAGATTACTCAATTGGCACATGTTTCTACTTGCACTTTCGAAGCCAGGGGCACAGGAGTCAGTGTCACAGAGAAGAAAGATGGAAGTCAAAATTACACCAATTCAGATTTTAGATCAGCAATTTTCTGTAAGCTAAATAGCAGACCAAAATAAATACAGACTCCTCATAAGCAATATAAAAAAAATAAATCACAAACAAATCACAAAACCCAACCCAAACAAAAAAAAACACAGGTTTGGGGTTTTTTTTCCCAGTTTGTAAAAAAGGAAAGTTGATATATGCTGAGTAAGTGTTTAAAACTGAGGGTGAAGTGGTTAGACTTCCTTTTCTGTGTAAATGGTGGAGTGAGATTAAACTGATGAACTTGGGGCTTTCCAGTTGTGAAGTCCTGCTCCCACATCAGAACATTGTACCATCCACAGAGGAAGTGTGCTTATGGAGGGACAGTAGAGTAATCCAAACAGCTCCGGGGGAAAGCAAGCTAGCAGGAACTGACAAAATAACCTTCAGGTTTGGCATCAGATAGTCCTGCATGCCAGACACAGCTGCATCCCAAAAGAAAGCAGTAGGATCCTCCAAGGGCAACTGTCTCCTCTTCTCTGCAAACCAGAACTCCCACTTTGAGGCACAGTACAAGTTTTACAGCTGCAATTCGTACCAAAAGTGTGACTTGTACAAGTGAGGGAGGACATTGTTTCATTTAGTCAGGCCAGAATACGAATTCTATGTAACCATTTGTGAGAAATAAAAACGTATCTAAAGGATGATGGAGGCAAAGGAGGGGCAGACTGAGAATTAAGAAGTTTTTAAAAAAGTTTACATACACATTTCAAACTGATGTATCTTTTCTACTAAGGAAAGATCTAAGACAGAAAAAGGAATCAAGAGGTTTAATATTAAATTCATTTCCTGATTTTTGAAAGTTGAGGTATTGGTTATTATTTATCCCGACCAGATAGCAATGGTATTTATCCGTATATATAAAACTACACATGAGCTTCTGAACCACTCAGGACTTGTTGAATAAGCTACACACTTGAGAGTCGTAACATTACTTGCAACATCATCACCAAAGTCTCAGGCTACAAACACCTCACAGCAGATCAAACGCCAGCTTTTCCTGTATGCAGAATTTCTTTCTGCTCTTAAAACCTGAGGTATTATTTGCACATTTCAAAAATCCATAACAAACTTCTTTTATGCAACACAAACACCACTGGGCAATCATTACCACAACACACAATAACCTTAAGTAAGGGAAATTTACATTTTACTCAAAACTGTCCATCACTGTTCAGCTTCTAGAAGGGCTGTAGCCCCTTATGTAGACTCCACGTTTGAAGAGCAGCAAGAAACAGAACAAGAGATAATGTCTAAATAATAATTTATGAAAATAATATGAAATTACAGACAAATTCAAGGGATATTTCAAATAAGCACCAAAAAGGATAATATATTGCCCTTAGATGTGAAGCCAAATCCTATCTCTGAGTGTTCCAAGAGCAGTTCTGAATACCTTTTTCTCCACAAGTATTAACTGATTTCATTTTAACTTAGGTAATCAGATTAATAAGACTGGTTAAAGATTAAAGCACTCCAAGTCACAGAGTGCACTGGTTTCTGCACAGGCTCCAATAATGTGAAGCATGAGCTCTACAACATAAGAACAGATTTAATACATTTATTACTACAGTGACCAAAGAAATTTAAATACCATAAGACAACTAGGTTTTGGTCTTTCTTTTTAATCTTTCCCTTTAAGAAAAAAATTACCTCCACACAAAAGATCTTAAGATCAAGTCCACATAACTTCATCTTTTCCGGAAAATGCTCAAAAACATTCAAATATGGAATATGACCTTCAATAACAAACCTGCATTAAAAATAAAATGAAGATGAAGTCAAAATAGTACGTAGTATGACAAATGCAGATGTTTATTCTAAAATGAATACATAAATCAACTTCTGATTTGAAATAACATCAGTATTACACTGTCTAAGCAATTCTATCTGAAGTTACACACCCCTGAATGCTCTACAGGACAAAAACCAGTTCAATCATTTAACAGCCCTTTAAGTTCAAGCACAGATATGACTGACAAATGACAATGTTATGGCAATGAGTTTACATTCAACACGCTGATACGGAGTTTGTTCTGCACATTCTTCAGCTGCTGCATTTCTGAAACTGCTTTAAGCCTCTTCTGAATGGTATGGAACTATTTTTTTTTTCCAGAATTCTAAAGCTTTAAGTAAATTTTACTTTTAAAACATACATTTTCTGCTGAAGGAATTAGTCAGGTCATGTGGTAGGGAGGAAAGTCATAGAATGATGAACAGAGACACAGAACTGAAACCTTATTAATTACACCCGTATTCTGATTATTTTTTAAGTATTATCCAGGCATGAATAGAAATTATTTTGTATACTAATAAATAGAAAATCTTTTTATTTGCACCCAAGTAATGCATTTTTTGTTAAAAACTGGCTTTGGTATGTGGTTGAAAGTATTCTTTAAGATTTTTCTTGACTTTTTCTCATATATATATATGTGTGTGTGTGTGTGTTGTGTGTGTGTGATGGGACTTAACAATAGCTACCAATAAAAAGTCACCACCACATCAAACCCCTGCTGTTTATCTAACATTTTAGCCAACATTCACACCAGGCAAAGCAAGCACTGAACAAGAATGGAGCCTCACAAGGGAACAGACACGACTCTCACTCCAGATTAAAGCACATTAAGTGGTCTCCCATAGAACTACCTTCCTGCCTCCTCTTCTTCATAACAGTTTTGTTTAAAAGAGTACATTAAACTGGAATAACTTATCCTTTCAAACTGGGAAGACCCTGTTCTTTAAATAATTTTAGAGATTTTAAAACAATTTTCTCTCGTGCCAGCTGTGTTATCTCACACTTTCTCTCTGATCTTGCTATGTACGTTAGTAACTTCTGAGTCTATAAACTCTGGAAGTCCCTTCTATGTTCCTGCAGTGGTTGTTAGGCTGGACTTTGCATCTGCCCCCAATGTAGGGCAGTACCTAAACGTTTCAGTCACTAGCTAGATCCAATTCCCCAACTTGAAACACTGAGTTCCTTATAAAACACAGTAATCTGCCACTTTCATTCAAAAGGTGTCTGGAGAAAAAGCAAAACAAAACAAAACCAACAAACCAAAAATAAGGCAGAACTACGTCTTCACAGACCGAGCAGCCACTGTTGAGGAGGACTCACATCTCTCCTGAGCCTACAACAATTCACAAGCTCACACCTTCCCTCTCCCCGTCCAATGTCCTAATCACCACTTGTTGCATTCTATGTGGTGCATATATATTGAAACTGACTAAACTTCTACTTAAAGGCTAGTTACTGCAAAGTTTAATAGTTACATCCTATTAAACAAAACAAAACACCTTAGTGAATTTTCAGTTTAATTAAAAAATGTAACTCAAACTGGAATCAAAACGAAAAGTGCATTTCTAAATCCAAACTCTCTATTACAATTAACCAATCATTTATAATGACTTCTGAAAAATAACAGCAACCTGAAAAATCACATTGCCCAATACTTTCTATTTGGAAGCTCTGTGTATTGGTCTCTTAAATGGAGAGGTAAATGTCACTACACAATCCTTTCTAATCAAATTGTGTGATGTACATTTTGCTAATGAAATTTCAGCAGCTCTCCTCAACCAGTGCAAATAGCATTTCCACACTCTGAGTGGAGATGTGCACTGCCCCACCTACTCAGTGAGGTTATCATCCAAACCCAGCACTAGTTGCTTGTCCTTGCCAACCTGCATGATCTGCTGAGAAGCATGCATGACAGCTCCTTAGCTCATTTGAGTAAAGGTCTGCTGCACTAAATTGAAAAAAACTTAAATTTGAGGGATGGTTTCACAAAATGGATTGAGACAACCTAAAAGCTTAACATAACCAGTCCATAATTCCTCCTTGTCTGGTTCAACACTCCTATCCCTCATCATCATCTTCCACAAATGTAACTCAACAACAGCAAAAACCTGTCCATCATCCTGTTTCAATAAATGAACCGAGGAGGCTAACAGATGGTTCCAAAAGTGCAAGAGTCGGCAGAGAGAAGGGGATGCATCACACAGGCAGGAGGAGAGAAGGAAAGCAAGACCTTCCTCTTTCAGCAACAGTGACCCATTACTGGCTTAGCTTATGATAAGCTTTGGCTGACACCTATTAAGGTGCAATCACACAATTAGCTGTCAGATCTGAAGAGCTGGTACCAAGACACCAAGAGCAGCAACCTCCTGAGCCAGCACAGCAACAGCTGGAAGAGGACAAACAACCAAGACCTTCCTTCAGGTGTGGTGTAATGGTGATTGCAGTCAAACCACTCTAATAACTTGCTGCCTCTGAAATGGGAAATCCCACCCTTCAGTCCTCTGCCACACACTCCTCCCTGCTGACAAAAGCACTTGTGTGACTTTTCAGACAGAGGATTAGATTGAGAACTAATCTTTTGTTTTCCAGGGTTTGATTTCAACCAGACAGATTTCCAGACTCAGCTGACTGCAAGAACATTATTGCCAGGACAAGGCAAAAAGGGACCGTGGTGAAGTAAATTAACCGTTGCTAAAATGTCTGGTGACACTTTATTTTGCAAAATTAGACTTTTGCAACTCTACTTCTTTCAACTAATATACCATAACTGGATGCTAGCACCCAGGGTAAGAGAAAGGGCAGGAATGTATATGCATGACCACAGCAACAAAAGCTCTGATCAGCTTAAAGTGACAAGGGAGCCACATTGTTACACTGCAAGAGACAAGCAATGTCCATCAAAATGGCTTTTAAAAAAGAAAGAAAGTTTAGAACAACTTGGTTGTACCAAGTCAGAGCACTGCAACTATTTAAAAAACAATTACATCTTTCCTAGCTTGAAATTAATGTCTCCATACAAAAGAAATGCTGTTCTCTCTCAGGTTAAGAATTCTTTTTACATTCTAAAAATATATGAAGCAGCATAAATATCCTGTTATGAATACAATGTGCTCGTGATTCAGGTTTTTAACACTTACTCCAAAAGCCCATTTTTGGAACAGCACTTCAGAACAGTTTCTTCTACTGTTCCTCCAATCCTTTCATTAAACAGAGAGATGATCAAAACACTTGTAAGACCACATTGTATCAGTGACATGCTTAAAAACTAGACTGGCAGACACAGTAGACAGTCCGTATCCTTTTTAATTGCAGTAGCAGCATACATTAGTAAGGTACAAGTATAAAAAACAATCCTAGGTCCTCTGAATGCTACAAGGAAATGATGCATCTGTTAAAGCCACATAGTAATGCTACAAACTGATTACAAGTTTAGTCTTGCCAGCACAGCTCCATATAACCTCATCTGAAACACATTAGTTCTCACAATCTCAAAGTCTAGCATCTTAAAACTTCATCCACACGCCAACAATTTTATTTTATTATTTAGATAAATAACATACAGCATATTGAGTCTTGTGAGACTATTCAGAATAGAAAAGGATTTGATGTGCTGCACAGACCTGAGTAGATGGTTGTTAAAAATGTTATTTTAAAACCAAAATGTCCCTGTCAAAGGAGGTAATTATAGTGTTTTTCTGCTAAGTATGTCAAGTAGCAAGGAGGAATATATTTTTGGTGTTGCAAATCCTCTAAAAGCTGGCACATTGCCTAAGCATGTATCACAAGGGAGGAGCAGTAGTCAGCTGACTTCAGGGTAGTGAGAAAACCAAACTGAGGAAAAAAACAGGGCAGAATTTTATGCACAACTGCAATTCAGCTGGTTTAAATAAAACAATTTGCCTAGAAAGATTTAAAAGGTAGTGCTGAATACTTCATGCTTTCTCTGCATAGTTTTCATCTCTGGTCTGTCGCTATTTTGATCTGTGTATCTTAATGCATGCAAAAATGCGAACATTGTCTGATTTTTTTAAACTTAAATATTCAGAAGTTAGAAAACAAGTACTTTATGGTAGTTCATACAATTTAAAATTCCTTCCCCTTCATCAAACTTGTGAAAGGTAAAGACCTTGAGGGTAGGGAGGGAAGCATGACAATGTAATTATGGTCTTATATAACTATCGTATCATGGCAAAACTTTGCAATACAAATTACATTCTTTTAAACGTAACTTTCTGCATTTAATTCAGTTCACATGCTCAGTGCATTTAAAGTCACGGAATCATTCTGATTTACTCACTTTTTAAAGTATTACACCATAATTTGTATCTTAGTAAATGATACCTTCTCAATCAAATAATCTTATTCCAATTTCCAATTTTTAATTTTTTATTGTGCCTTTCTGTGCTATATTTGGTACTTATTTTTTCTCTCTTTTTCCAGCTTTTTGGACTGTTGCCATGTTTTCTCTAAATCTTTTCAAGCAAATGTGCAAATCTCTTAAGGGTCTCAATACAAAGGATGTCCTCCAGTCTCTGGACAGTTTTCCTGGATCTTTTATGCAGTTCCCAATTTTTGAAGTGCCAAATACAACAATATACCATTAATATACAAATAACTCAATCTACCATTTGTCTTAATCGTTAACTTCAACATTTGTTTTTTTTAAATGTTATTGTTTGTTTTATCCAAACCACACCATCATACTAAGACAGGAACCTTTGAGGATGCATTTGCCTCGTATGACCCCACATGCTTTCCAGAGACAATTTCCCAGATACAGTAACCAGAGAATAGAAATTTCATTATTAATTTTTCTCTCCAAACAGGATGGGCCAAGCAATAATTCTTACTATGAAACATTTGCGCTCTCTCAGCAATTGTAATTTAATAATTGGATTTTTGTAATATACAAATACTACCCGACAGGATTTATAGATTAACTTTCTAGTAATTGTAAATAACATGGAGTATGTTATGGTAGTTCTGATTCCTACAACATTTTCTTAGGAACATACTAGTCAGTAATAAATCTTGTTATTTGAAATCACTGTTAGTGAAAACTACTTTTGAGTTTTACTGTTTCTTAATCTACTCAATAAATACTTCTGTACTGCAGGGTGCTAGTGTGAATGAAGCATTTTGATTACCACTTTACAAGCATCTTTTATACAACAGCATATCCAGTTATGCAAATATGCAATGGTTTGTGTAATTCTGATTGATGAAGGTAATTGCCACCCCCTAAGGTTAAATCAAAGGGTTAAATATTGTTTTACATAGAAATAAATCAGCTAGTATTCACTACTGTACTTCAAGACATACAAACCTCACCTTTTTAGAAAGTACTCGCAGAAAAGCGAGTTCTTCAATACCCATCCTTCTCAGAAAGCTTGTACAAAGCTAGAGAACTGCAGGTGGAAGCTGGGACAGCAGGGGAGAGAGACCATGATGGAACAGGCTCTCAGGTAAATTTTCCTTGCATTCACCACAGTTTGAGCAACAGTACTACTCATATGCACTGCAGATGGGGGATGGTGTACTCACTGCCCTGCCTTTTAGCTCACACGTTATATATATCTGAAAAATAAACAACTGAAATCTACCATATCAACTGAATTTTGAATTTTTTTTTCCTTTATCTTGTCTGAGTTTGCAATTTGAATTGCCAACGTACAGTTACTTGAGTCTTCCTGTTCTTTAAATTTTGGCAAAAGGAACATTTTTTCCTCCATCCTTTCAGGAATAACCAGTACTTCAACACTTGTTAAAAAAGGAGTTCCAGTATACAAATTCTCTCCCAATTAAGATCTAGAAATTCCTGAATTCAAGCTATTTGGGCCTGATTTAAAATATTTATTGCTAACAAGAAAAAATGAATTATTTTTCATTCCTTAAGTAGAATGAACTATTCCAGGTGGAAGGGACCTACAGTGAACATGTAATCCTACTGCCTGACCAATTAAGGGCTGACCAGAAGTTCAAGCATGTTGTTAAGGCAGTGCCCAAACACCTCTTGAACGCTGACAGGCTTAGGAGTAAGGAATGTGTTCATAGGCTCATAGAGGGGAGAAGGGAACTGCCTTGTCAGCAGTAGTTTGACGGTCCCCACTTAGCATCAAACCCTGCTATTAGAACATTTTATCTCTACTGTATTGAAAGCTTCACTATTCTGAACTCTGATAATTACAAAGATATGAAGGACAAAAAGGAATTTCTATATTAATATCTGTGCCAAACTCCATTGTGTGAAGCTACTTAGCTACTTTTCAGATCACTATATGTTGCTGGTATTGTTTGTATGATGACAATGACCTAAGTCCTGGAGAATGTTTACTCATTTCATTCTAGCATGTTGACAACAGCAAAAATAGCAAAAGTGTGACTATACACACCTCCAGTGAATTTAAAGAAATTTTCAAAGAGAAGAATAAAAACTTCATTAGCTCCAAAACCACCTCCCTTACAGGTCTTTGGGATCCACTGTAAGCAACAGAAAATAATATTCTCCAAAAGCAGCAGAACAAATTGTTACATCATAGAAAAGACAACTAAAAAACTAAAAGAGTACTTCTCAATACATCTAAGCAAATTGGTAAGAGGACAATGGTATGGATCTGTATTGTTTAAATATATTATTTACAAAAGCAACAACTATTTCACTAGAGACTATTCATACCTTAAGAGATCAGATAATGTCATTGGTTCTCTCAACCAGAGTAACGCCATGTAACAAAATGAAAGAGTCATTGGCATCGTCATCCTCAGTTTCTCCTTTTGGTTCTTCATTAAATACAAGCTACCATCTACGGATCCAGAGCACACAGAGGTGCTTTCTTGGGTTTATGTTAAAAACAGAAAAGAAAAAATAGTAATTGATATGATATACATACGCTGCATGGCATCCAGAAAACAAGATAAAGCAACACAGAAGGAATCTTGTTCAGCAACTAGCAACATTTTGAAACAATTACTTTGAGTAATTTGGTAGTTTGTGTACTTTCCTACTAAACAGCTTAAGCCAAATGTATTAATCTAGCATGACATGAGATGTCAGCCTGTTTCATAAACTGCTACTTCACTTGACTAAGACACTGGATTGTATGAAGAGACCAAAACAGACCTTTTGTTGGGAACTAGACTTAAACCTGGAGTTCCAGAAGGACATTAGCTCCTATACAACATGGAACTTGAACTAATTATGAACCAGACATACTATTTTCCATTTGAGAGATAAGGGAACAGAGGGGAAACAAAGGAAAATTCTATGTGCTTAGTACCTTGAAGTTGGAGATTAAAACACAACATTTTAAACTTCACAGTCAGGACTGTAATGAGAACATGAATTACACTACAGAAAATTTACTGAGGTTAAGGTATGTAATCATCTACCATATAATCTCTAATTGTGGAAACCTAAGCATTCTTTTAAAACAACGTATCTACATTCAGTGAAAAAAAATCAACACCTGTAGAACAAAATATAACACATGGTAAAGAAGATGAGGAAAAACTCAGCAACCAAACCTCCTTACTTCCATACTGAGATGAATCACTGAAAACTAAAAGAAGAAGCAAAGAGAAATTTAATGTAGGGGAGTGATTTATGAGTTAGGAACCTTTTCAGCAGTGAAACCTGGGAGTTCAGGGAAGGGAGAAAAAAGAAAAAAAAAGACTCTCTTCCCTACATAATGACCCAGCTAGAACGAATGAAAATGTTTTTTATTTAAAGCACACCAGCACAAAATACCAGCACTGATTCTGTAGAGATTTTCTTACTGTTTCCTCACAGACTGTTCACCTGTTCAGACAGGAACAGTGTGGGCTGAATCCACAGCTCCCAGCTGGGAGCTGCAGAGCCATGGCAAGCGCCTGCAAAAGGCACTATGAAACTTCAGAGAGCTCTGCAGCTCCGTGGTGATGCTGGCAAGTGACAGCCAAGCCTGTAAGGTGTCAGTGGTAGAAGTCCAGCGCCCACTGACATGCGATATGAAGACAGACCCTGCAAATATCGTGTTCTTCAGCCAGAATGGGTCTTTGATGCCACCTACTGGCTCCTAAAACGGGGGCGAGTAGCACTAGGGAAGCAACAACAGGTCAAAAGAACCGGCTCAAACATACACCTCAAACAAAGACAGGGTCTAGATGACTGCACCCTATGAGGTCTATCAGGTATAAGTCCGTTGGAGAACAAAAGCAGGAACATCAGTTAATCCTTTAGTCAACAGTTTCACCTTTTACATGGATACTTGTGCTTAAAGGCAGCATAATGACTGAGGCTTCATTATTAATTTCATATTCAACTCAATTTAAAATAATCCTCATTATATTTGTGGCCTTAATGATGGAACACAATTTCCTTTTATTTCTTACAGCTTATGCAAGGCATGACAACACACAGTCACACACATATAATAGTTTAAGAGTTTAATAGGCTTCTCTAGCAATATCTCAGTGCTATACTCAGTAGAATTTGCTATTATTCCCACACATACACAAAAAAGCTTGCATAATGGACAAGCCCCATAGAGAAAAAAGGGTGTTGATGTAGCAGTAACAGCTCAGTAAAAACAGCCCAGAAAAGGACACCTATGAATCTTCACTTGAATTTATAATCAACTAGAACACGTGTAGTATTACTTGTGTTAAAATTCACACAAAACAATTACTACAATTCACAGAATCACAGAATTGTTATGGTTGGAAAAGACCAACCATAGTATAACTCTACCAACCATTAACCTTACTCTACCAAGTCCAGTGCTTAAACTATGTTCCTAAGCACCACATCTATACATCTTTTAAACACCCCCAGGGATGGTGATTCAACCACCCTTCTGGGCAGCCTATTCCAGTGGTTTATACCCTTATAGAGAAGAAGTTTCTTCTCATATCTACTCTAAACATCCCCTGGCACCACTTGAGTCCATTTCCTCTTGTCCCGTTGCTTGTCACTGGGGAGAAGAGACCAACCCCCATCTTGTTACAACCTCCTTTCAGGTAGTTGTACAGAGTGTTAAGGTCTCCCCTCCATCTCCTTTTCTCCAGGCTAAACCATACCAATTCCCTCAGGCTTGTGCTGTAGACCCTTCACCAGCTTTGTCACCCTTCTCTAGACTTCACCAAAATGTACTTTCAGTGTTCCTGAACTAATCCATTTCAAGTATTTGTGGTGAAATTGGTGTAACTACTTAAAGTTGAAACCAAGCTGAAACAACAGGCAAAGAACATGTTAGATCATGGCCTATCTAGGTGTTCTAAAACTCTAAGAAACATAATGTTAAAAGGCACAAGTACCAAGGAAGAAAGAAGGTCTTCTAGACATCAAAAAGAGGAAGAAAATTCAATTGAATATTTTCACTGGAAAATATTCACTCAGTTGTTTCCTCTTCATATAATATAGCTATGTGTAACACTCAAGATCTGCTACATGTATAAACATACTGTGAGTGACTCTTTACCTGAAACTCTGGTCATTTGAATATATAAGCATAAAAGGTACTTGCATTATTAGCACAAAAAATTTTGTCACCAATTTTTGCACCTTTTCCCTTTGCTAATTCTGTTTCGATTTAAAAAAAAATAATTTATTCAGAACAAGTTTCTTATTCTACTACCATTTCTGGGCTTTATGAAATAAAAATATGCAAGAAAACAATTGCATTCTTCTGAGGGTAGACAGGCAATACCATAGAAGAATAGAAATGGGACATAAAGAGGACAGTACATAACAGGCAAAAAAGAAACACTGAAACAGAAGAAGAAGGAAAAGGCAAGCAAAAAATAAAGGAAAACAACAAATAAACCCCATTAGAAGTTTAAAAGGCAAGCAAAAGATTTCAAATGTGCCATTATCAGACACTGCAACATTGTCTGGCATCACACTTGCCCCGTAGCACAAAACACTCCAATTTTCTACAACATTTTAATTATAGAATGCTAAACATCTTAAGTATTTTCAAGCTGATATTGTGAGCAGAAAGGAGAAACTGATGGAATACTAAACAAAGGTTTTTTTGATAGAAGGGGCTATAGGGAAAGGACTAAAAAGAATGCAGATAGAAATGATACAGAAGTGTCAATACCGTAAGAAAAAACTAAAGCTAAATATGTCTATGGGATAGGGGAAAAACAATGCCCCACCCCAAAAAGAACAAATAAGTGGTTTTTAACATCAGTGTTTTGACTGACAGCTCTACTACTAACTAAACAAGTGCTTGTTCTTTAAAGCTATCGTGTTTGTGAACATCTAGCTTTGCAAATATAATAGCCATTTTCCCCCACTCTAAACAAGAAGCATGGAGCAACCTTTTTATAAAAACAACTTCCTTCTGCATTTCCCATTTTATTTAAAGATTCTGCTCAATTTTGATCTCTTGGGTAAGGGTTGGGTGGAAGGGAAGGGCAAAGTCTTCTATGTCTAGTAGAATATAAAGTACTCTACTGGCAAACAGGACTGAAATCTTTACACTTTCCAACCAGTTTCCCCAATTTATTGTACCAGAATACACTTTTAATATATTTATTTATATTAAAAAACTATGCAAAAATGGTTCCCAGACAGTTCAGTTCATTGCTCCTACCTGAGACCTTGCTAGTTGATGAGGCAAAGCTGCAATCAGTCTGTAAATCCCCCTCACTTTCAGAGAGAGACAACAAGTGTAGAAGGCTGGGTCTCTGTGGGTCACTGTCTATATCAGTACTGCTATCACAAACCTGTTTTTGGAAATAAGTAATTGCATTATCTACTGTTACTTACTGTTTCAAACTGAACAAATAAACAAACAAAAAAAGCATGACAGATCCAAGATCAATAGCAAAGGAATTTTAAACCCAAACTGTTCATATTTTTATGTTCTCTATGAATCACCACTGCATGAAGAAACCCCACAAAAATGTATTTTTAAATGACTGCTCAAGATAGAAAGATTTCTAGTGATTACATTACATTTCAGTCTGCTACAATGACCAGAATTTTGGCCATACATAGAATCAAACCTTCACAAAATGAGTAATGTGAACAGAGCAGGCAGGAAAGCATGGTAGCTGATGATGCATTTTGTATTGTAATTTCTGCTCTACCTACTAAGACACAGATAACGGCAATATCTACTATGTAGATAATGCCAAGCCAAAGTAGTATTTTAAATAAGCATCTTCCACACTCAGAGAAGTATCTGTTTCTTGAAAAAGGAAAAAAAAAACACAACAGAAAAACACAATAGACACATGGAGCCCCGTTTAGGAGACACCCTTCACACTGAAATGACATTAATACAAGCTAAATAGGTAGCCCTAACAAAGAAGGTTCTGTTGTTGCTTTTTAAAAATATGCAGAACATCTCATGGGATTTGAGTTTTTCACTTACTGATAATGCTTTGATAGTTTCCCCAGCTGGTCTACTGCAATAGGCCTGTTTGCTCTTCTGAAGGTAATGCCTCCAAAAATTGTACAGAACTTCATCCTGACAAACATAAATAGACAGTGACCAGCACAAAGTATACAAGATCACTAATTGCTGAGAAAACAGAGAGTAATTTCTGACTCAAGAATCTGAATAATGTTCCACCTCTGATTTTATTAACTGTGATATATAAACTAGGTTTTAAATTTACTAGGGAAACTAAGCTTGTTTTCATACACTCAAAGTTTTTAGACAGGGAGTTGTTTGATTCACTTGAAAAATCACAGTATTTTAAAATAATGCCTCCTGTAACACACACAGTGTATACAACTCACACCAACATCTACATACCTTCATTTGTGGACACACTCCTAACGCTTCTATAGCTTCAGCTTGTTTCTTGAGTATAAGCTGAAAGCCTTCACAAACATACCACTCACAGCCTCCATCTAAGTAAAGAAGAAAAAAAAAAAAAAGCCTTATTTGTTTGTTATGTTTTGGGGTTTTTTAACCTTATACACACTTATTTCCATTTAATATTCTGTTCTCTTGGTAGCAGGACAGAGACATGTCTCTCTAATAGAGTTTTAGATCCTAGAGAATAGGCCAGCTACACTGAATACTCCCATTAGCTTCCATTTATTCAATCTCAATCAAAAAGAAAAGCTACTGAACAAGCACTTTTCTCCACACATTTCCCAAGAATAATATATTTCCCTATAATTTCCAGTGTGGCATTTGTAATTCAGTGGGGTTGTTAAGTGACCAGTTTTAAAATAACTGAGAACCTGTCATTAAAAAGTGAAATATGAGCATTTCTTTCCCAACCCCAGCAGAGAAAACTGGAACACATTATGTTGGTGAGTCAGGCAAAACCAACTAATATCACCACATTCTTCACCATTCTCTCCCACAGAATGATACACATTTAAATGAAAGAAACCTCCTCAGATATTCAGAGCTTCTAGCAAATCTCAGCACAACATGACTTTATTAAGGAATGGGCCTTCTCCAGTCTATTCATTATGCCCTTAGACATTTACTTTTCACCCTTAATTCTCCACATTTGCAACTCTTTTCTGCAGGCTTTTGCCTCAGAAATTTTTTCTACATTTTTCAACTTCCTTTTCATTCCCTCCGCACCTGTTCATTATTTTTCCTTCCAATCACATCATACATCTCACCATCTTAGAAGTTATCCGCCAAAAGCTTCTCCTCTGCTTCAGCAATGTTGCCTTTAACTGTTAACCACAGACACACCTTACTCTTATAAATGCAAGAAAATAAGCTGCCACAGTATAATGTAACAGCACTCACAGAAAGGACTCTATGAAGCTAAGGATTTCTCTCTTAAGAAGCCTGGCTAATGACTTCCCTAAGAAATGACTGAAAAAGCATGATGTGGTATGTAGCTCTGACTTTAGAGGCAACACGGGATAAAGACAAGGGAAGGTTTTAAGGTTCTTCCTGTTTTCACTCCTCCCCTTGCCTCCCCACAATTGTTCTTTTCAAAGGAATGTAGTAATCCACTGCCACCACAGTACAGTGAAGATAGGTCAGTGTATCAGAGATAGAGATAACCAGCCCCGTGCTTCAGTTAGCATGGTAACATATTCCTGCTTTTTGGAAGTGGCCAAGGCAGTAAAAGATCTATCCAGCCATCCCAGAATACACACATAGCTCCAGCAGCAGCCTTATCATAACATCCTTACGGCATAGATCATCATGCATAATGACAACTGTTCTGAATAATGAAATCAAAAGCATAGAAATTACTCTGGATGAAAGTTGTACCATTGGTTTAGCTATTCTAACAGTATAAAATCCTCTCCACGTAGGTTACAGGGCCAAGTACCTGTAACGTGAGCCTGACTGACACTCTTAAGAGCTGAACCACCATCACATCTCACTTTCAAAGAGACAACTTTTCCTGGTTTGCGGTAGCCATCACAGGGAAGTGACAAAGGGATTGCCACAGATAAATGCATGCCACCTGTATCTTCAGTGAGTATTGGCTTCCACAAATCAAAAGTGGCAATAAGTAATACATAGCTCTGTTCAATGCAAGAAATACCAAAACACCACCAGCCTCACAGGGATCACCTGTGGCTCAGGAAGTCACTCCAGGTGACCACTGAAGGCTCTGGCAACATTTGAAGGGTGTATTTCCTTCCTGTTCTTACAGTCTTCCCAAGCTGTCTGCATTTGGCCACTGTCAGAGATACAGTAGGCCAGATGAACCCTGGCTGGACAGCCACCCTTCAACAAAATAGAGAGAGCAGATCATACATACCATTTTTTTCCTGCTTTGTTAAACCTTTGGATATTGTTTGGACTCTTGTATTAGAAACAAAATCAGCATTTACAACTTCTCTAGTTCTCTGCAAAACAGGAATATGTCTTAGCAAGAAAAAAAATGACAAAACAAACCAGGCCTAATATGTATAGATTGTCCCATCATAAAACATAATGGAGAAACTTGTCTGAATTTCCTAAACTAAAGGGTGACATTTTCAACTTTTTACTCAGAAATTGCAAAAACAGATAATTGCTATCCTGGACATACAAGTGATGTTCCTCAGGGTTTGCCTACATGATCGTGCAGCAATACCCAAGCAACACTTCTAAGGTATCCAGACAGCGCCACGCCTCAGGGTTTGCCTACATGATAGTGTACTGAAGTGCAGCAATACCCAGGCAACACTTCTAAGGTATCCAGACAGCGCCACAGCTACATCAACACAGCATCTCAAGGCAGTTCATTTAAAATGTTGTGACTTCAAGGGACATTAGTTTCAAGCAGTGTCAAGTAAAACATGAAAAAGGAGGAACCACAGTGCTGCCTTCAACTCCTAACGCCAAGGAGAAAAATCTAACCTCCTTAATATACAATCAAGAAACAATCAAAATGAACCTTTTCCAAGGCCAGCAGCTTAGCTTTTTACCTCAGTAACATTGTGACAAGATCTGCAATAAAATCTGCCATCAGCCAGACCCCAGTTCACTTCTGAACACTGGGCACAGCGTTCATTGAAATCTCTCTAAAAGGAAAGAAACAACAAAACAACAGTATCACAGGCGTTCAAGTAAAACAAATGGCAGTATTACCAGGCTGCTGCATGGCTTTGAGATTGTGCACCGGGTAGTTACGCCCTGTATGTCAGCTCTGGCTGATAACAAGTAATCACAGCCTTTGTTATCAGCCGGAGATAACCGAACAAGTAATTTCGGCTGGCAAGCACCAGCTCTCGTGCATCAGAGCAATGATCCGCACGTGACACGGTTTCAAAAAACCCACCTATGGGAAAGGAAGTAGCGGCGTGAGACAGACAAGGAGGGAAAATTCGCTTCCACAGCGCGTTAGAAACGTGCAAGGGCGGGGAGCGGGTGAAGGGACGTGCGGGGGACAGAGGGGCCTCCCAGGGAACCCGGAGGGGGAAGGAGAAAGCAGCAGATAAAACCGAGGCGTTTTCCAGGACCCCCCCTGCACGGACGAGCTGGGCACGGGCAGTTGGTTCCCTCTGGGCCCCGCCGAGCCC